CATCTCTGATTAGGCTTTTTGGGGTTAGACAGCTAAGAACCTGGTTTAGGTCATCCAACCTTTGTTCTACCGAATGATGAGATGAAGACTTACTGGTTTTTGGAAGTAAATCTGGTAGTCAAATATTGGAAGGGCCTTTAATTTCTCTGTAACAGGAGCCGAGGGATCCGGGGGGAACAGGGGAGTGTTCAGAGACGCTACTGCCCTTCACAGGAACAAAGGAACAGACATATTTAGCTTCTACATGTCAGTACCATTAAACTTCCCTCCTTTAAGACAGGTGTTGTGTTTTTCACCTGATTCTCTCTGGATAATACCGGGCCATAGTCCAAACCAAAGCACCGCCCCAGTCGTGACCCACCAGGGTGACCTGTGGTATGGACTTGGAGAGAAAGGACAAGTCAGCTAACATAAACCCCATTAATTGGGATGTTTATTTATATCTTACCATTTTGTCCATAAAAGTAATTAAATCCTGCAGAGAGAGAAATATATAATGTTAGTCCACTAATAGTTGAACACAAAATGTATATATTATGATGAAATATGTTGATACACAGGAAAAAATTGAAATCTAGATAAGTAATTTTTCTTAAAGTGCATTTTTTCTTGGATTGAGGAGACAAGAGACATCTTGACAGCGGAACAAGACAATTTACACTTAAAATAAGAAAACACAATTGCATAGTCTTATTTCAAGTGAATATTATCCAATTATCTCATTTCAAGAGTAAAAATACTCATTCCATTTGCAAACTACCTTATTTACCTACTCAAATCAAGCGTAAATACACTTAATTTAAGAAAAATTTTCTTATTTCTAGATTGTTTTCTAGTGTACACTGCAAAAACGACATAAAAACAAGTAAAAATGTCTTAGATTAAGTGTATTTACCTTTAATTTGAGCAGGTAAATGAGATAGTTTGCCAATGGAATGAGTAATTTTACACTTAAAATAAGATAATTGGATAAAATGCGCTTGAAATAAGACAATGCTATTGTGTTTTCTTATTTTAAGTGTAATTTGTCTTGTTCCATTGGCAAAATTTCTCTTTTATCTCCTCAATTCAATAACAAACGCACTTATTTTAAGAAAAAAAAATGACGTATCTAGATTTTGATTGTTTTCTAGTGAAGGTATGAACCTTGCAAAGCTGCTCCTGAGAATATTCCTCTATGTCTGCAGGAGAAGAAAAATGAATCATAAAACAAAGTTAAAATGTTTCTGAAATACAGCAGTAAATGCATGGAAACATGTCTATGTTTGCCCACCAGGGGGTGCTGTTGACTCTCCGTATCCCTTCATGTCCAGAGCCAGGACCCTGAACCCTGCTGCAGCCAAAGCTGGGATCTACAGAACAGGAAGCAGGTATGAAAACATGCTTCAGCTCAGAGACGTAGAGCTTTAGAGGACGGCTCACCTGGTACCTCCAGGAGTACCAGCTCTCAGGGAAACCGTGGCACAGCAGGACCGGTGGACCCGAGCCCATCTCCACGTAGTGGGTCCGAACACCAGGCTGAAAATATCACGCTGGTTCAACAGTCTGTTTATGTTCTGAATATGCGCTGATAGATGTGGATTATTACTCTGATGGTGATGTATCCATGAGACACTTGATCGGGGCTGCAGGTTACTGGAGGACTCTCTGCTCCAACAGCCTGAAAAACACAAACTGATTAATTTTAGCCAAAGATTGACTCCCTTTCCTCTTGGTAGGAAGGATAAACCCTTCTGAGATTGATTGCACTTTACTAGAGGCATCCATG